ACGAAAACTGATCTTTTAGAAAAGAGAAAAATAAACTATACTTAGTTTGCTGAAAAATTTATCATCACCCTGTCATAAACCTATACACGCGAATACAGTCACAGAGAGATAAAATCAAACTCACGCACATTCAATCACACGCATACATATAGAAAAATATAAGCATATGAAGATATATGCATATACGCATTGGTGCTCTCAGAAATACACCCTGCTTTATTTAATTAAATTCTATTCTATAATTTTGAGCGAACGTCTCTCCGCTATATTTTAATTAATTTCAGAATAACTTCGTTAAATAAAAATGTATTTATCTGGGCATCTTTTAAAGTTTTAATTATACTGTTTTTTTTTTGTTTCAGAATCTGTCAATGTGGCATATTTTGTTACCTGTAGTTTCGTTTTGTTTGGTTGCCTGAATTCATATAATTGTAAATCTGTTACTAGAGACAAGAAGTGGGTTATATTTAAAAGTGATCATCATCACAAACTCAATGAAAGAATTAAGTGATACATATGTACGAAAGGGCTCAAATCTAACCATCATTTGGACAATATCTACACACACTAAATCCATAAAAGAAATCTGACACACACAAAAAAAAATTCTTTTAATTATTTCATATCCACAAATCAATAAAGCAAGATGGTTACTAGATGTGAAAGAATATGAGAAAAAGAAAAAAAAAACTTATTATGGATATAGAACAATAAAATAACAGATATTAAGAAGAGAGAAGATAACGATTGACGGCCATTTAAAATTTCGAAGGTCAAAGTTGAATGGAAAGCAAAAAAAAAAAACGGAAGTGGACGTTAGAAAAAGTGTGACAGAGAAATCCGAAATTAGTCATATTTAAGTATATTATTTGCTTATAAAGCAACTGAGACAGATCATTCGTGATTATCTTTTTTTTTAATTATTTAACCCCAAGCAAGGCAATTAATCCACTAAGACACCAGGTGTATCTGAGTTTGAAAGTCAATGTTGACACGAATGCAAGTCGAGTGTTCCACCAGCGAGAAGCACAAGTGAAAAAAAAACTGTTAGTATCGAACTTATCCATTTCAACAGTACAACGATGAGACCTAGCTGCCAATCTAGTACTGCGTTTCTATTCATTAGATTCTAAGTACCAAGGAGGAGATCTCATTAGAACAATTCCCCCTGGAAAGATTTATAGAAATACAAACGGAATCTACGTTACAGCAGTGGGGAAATTGGCTTAAGCCATGTTGCCAGGTGAGGACCAATAAAAGTGCAGAGTCCTTTTGTATATATTCAAAAATATATAAACGGACCACATGTAGCAGAAATATTCAATTCCTGTCTATATCTCTGAGTTTAAGTATTATGATTATTTGCATTATTCGGATTGTTATCCTCATCTTCATTGCCATATTTGAAACGTTTTGGCTCTTGTACGCTCCGGCCTTCTTCAGGTGATTGCAATTTCGTATCGAACCATTTATTTCGTCTCCCAGGATAGATTGTTCTACTTTCACGGGCCATGCTTCTTCCGGTGGTCTCGCAAAGTTTTTTGGTTGGCCACTGCTGTAGCCTGGTATTGAACTCACAACTCTTTGGGTTTAATCACTTGATATAACCAACGTCTTTATCCCCTAGGCCGTGTGTCCTTGAAGACATCTGTGTAAAAATTTCTAGGACTTTTAAAACTAATGTCTCAGGTTGTGAATATGGCAATGAAGATGAGGATAACAGCTGAATAATGTAAATATTCAATTCTGTACAAACGGTAAAATTATAAATGTGTATGATAGATGCTGGCAAGAAAAAATGTCTAATGTGACACAGTGGCCTAACTTTGGTAACAGGAAACTTAGTATTTGATTCATTATAATCCATCCACTTGATGTCAGCGTAAAAACGTTAGCCCGAGAAATAAAAGAAATGCCGAGTTAATGATTTTAATAAAAAACAGCCGAAACGTACAACAGCCGAAACGTTTCAAATATGGCAATGAAGATGAGGATAACAATCCGAATAATGTAAATAATGTAAATAATCATAATATTTAAACTCAGAGATATAGACAGGAATTGAATATTGCTGTTCCATGTGGTCCGTTGCTTCTAATATAAATTAGAGAAGGGTAGCTATATTAGGACAGTCGACTCGTTACACCCGTAAAACTATTGCTGACAGGGATTATCCGTTTTGTGATTTTAGACAAATATTTTCGTGGTATCTGCTGTGACCAGCTATTTTCACAGGTGTCCCGGGTGCATGAATTTAAGGTTGGTAAGTCGATCCCACCCTTTTACTGTCGAAATAGTTAAATATAACCGCCTCTTCTACTCCAACAGCTTCTTCTCTCGCACTTCTTGATAGTGGAACCCCTTTCTTTTAATAGCTTCACTGATAACTATAATCTTCAAAAATTTAAATATAATGTCAATCGATATTTTCTTTTACCTTGATTCCCGTTCTTCTATTAATCCACCTCCGTTCTTTTTTTTTATCCTCATCCCACTACCTATACACAGTCTATCCTATACTTACACTATCTAAAGCCTCTTGCGTATTAGTGGCACTCCTCCCCTTGCTTGGGGTGAATTGCTTAATATGTATATTGTTATGTCCAAGTAAATATTGAAGTAATAACAACAACCAGGTTTGCAGATAAATCGTATATTTAACAGTAAGTACACCAGAAGAGTATTACACGACTAGTGAGAGTATATCGAATGAAAGAGCGCTCAATCTATTTATTGTTCACAGTCCATTTTCCCCTACCAGTAGAAGGAAGAGTCTAAAATAGTCTTAGAGGAAGGACACCACAGCATATCAACATATATATATATATATATATATATATATATATATATATATATATATATATATATATTATTGTTGTAGAGTAATTTTCACTGTGGAGGCTTGTATTTCGCTAAGTCGGTCCTATAAGGGTCCGACCGACAAAACGTTAGGAACTTGAAATAAGAGTTAATGACGCAGCAATCTAGTTGTGATGGTTGATATTTCAATGTCCGACATCGACTGACTCACTCAACACCACTGAGCTCAACTGACGACCGCTACTACTGCTACTACTACTGTGTGGGAGAGTCAATTACAATAGAATAGGTAATGTTCTGGTATAACAATTATGTCATTCGCAGACAGTACTCTTTCGCTGAACCACAGCTTCTCAGTGCAACTAGACATCCGAATGCATCAAGCCGGGATTGGAAACCAACCGATTTGGTGTCAGTCAGAGTTTCTACCACTGAGCTATCTTCACTCGGTAGAAGTGAGCAGCTAAATCTAGCGTATTGTTTTTACGAATGTAAACAAATGTCAAACAGCCGGAGTGCTCCATTCATTTTCCTGAAGAGCTTCGCATTAACGCAGCTGGCTGTTGTTTATGGAATTAGCTTGTCACTCAACAGCGCTCAATTGAAATATATTCTTTCAAGATCTATATCAGCTAGACAAGGAAAAAAAATTATATATATATATATATATATATATATATATATATATAGAGAGAGAGAGAGAGAGAGAGGTAACTACACTCGTCTCAGAAAACCTTCGGTTTCTTGATTTGCTAATGATCAAATCAATTTCGAAGGAAAAAAAGGTGTTAAAAAAAAAGCGCTAGGAACATGAACGTCTGTGGAAAATAATCGTACAGCATACAGGTCCAAAGCCCAAAGAAAAAAACCCGATACGAGTAATCAACTAACTAAAAAAGTGTTCAATACAAAAGTAGAGCAGACCTAGTCAAACCTAGAGAGTCAGACAAACCTACTAAGGTTTCACCAAAGCGGATCGCTTAGGTGAAACCTTGGTAGGTTTATCTGGCTCTCTAGGTTTGACTTTATCTATATATATATAATATATATATATAGATAGATAGATAGATAGATAGATAGATAGATAGATATACGTGTATGTCTGTGTGCGTGAACGCTCCTTTGTCCATATATGTATACGTATAGAAAGATTCCTGTGTAATTCAATTAGCCACAGGCCATTAATTCTATCTTAGCTTGAAATGAATAGATCCCAGTTTCATTTAACTGCATTCTTCCGGGGGCCATTTTTAAATGCCAAACAATCGAATGAAAGATCTAAATAAACACGGAACGTTACGGGCAAATTCGTTGATAACTGCAAAATAATCAAAATTTCAAAATCAATTAGAATTACTTTTCGCGGCAAGCTATTTGCACGATTTAAATATGTAAGTAGGTTTCTAGGCTAAGTGGAATAAATTGCGTTCTACTAATCAGTACATTCACAAATGAGCGTGGGTGAAAATTGTAGTCTTCTGTGTCGTCTCTGAACCCCCACGCTAATACAATGTTTCTGTTATTAGTTTTAGAAAGAATGGTGGCAGCTTAGATTCTAAGAGAGAAATGGCGTTAGAAAAACGCATGTCCCATATTTGCTCAACGTCCCTCCTAGCTGGTCACTAAACTGGGTGTGGAAGGCCTATCGCCGCTTCAGAATTCTGGCGGTTCTTTATTTAATTCGCGCCGTTTTGTACTTACGTTCAAAACCCAGAAAAAGGCAGTAAATCATTTTCAGAATGTACCGCCCACGAGGCACTCCGGCTAATCGTTGACCATTCTAGGCCTGGCCTTCGCAGTTTGTAACAAAATACAGCGGCAATCAAATAAAAAAAAAAGACTTATATGACTAAATCATTATCATCTCAAAAAATTCTTACAATCTAAAAAAAATGTTCTGGTTTTAAATAACCTTGAAAAGGTTGATAAGCCGTAAAAAATGAATGACTCAATAAAACTTAACTAATTAAGCAGAATTCTACAGTAGTAGTTAATTTTATCTTAATATTTGAAATGACTCGATGTAGCCGTAAGTTCTATGTTAACACTTTCTTCTCTTGCTTTTGGAAATCTCTTCTGACCTCTTGCATTTCCGTCAACTGTGATCTTCAAAAATTGTAGTGTCATTGTCTTCTTAATTCCTCTTCTCATAGAGTTAACCTCTCCTAAATAATGTTACTGCCACATCACGTTGAAACACCTGTTCCCGTGCAATCATCGAAGTTAAGCAAAGTTGAGCCTGGTCAGTACCTAGATGGGTGGACGTGTGGGAATTCCTGGTGCTGTAAGCTTGGATGTGTGTGCGGTCTAATGGATAATGGCTAGGGATTGTTAATCTGAGAGCCAAGTTCCTATTCCCGTTGGGTTCATTATATTCACTTTGTCGCAAATACCCTTAAGAAAGGAGGGCATCTACCTCTTCTTCCCACAGCTATGAATTAATTCGTAAGAACTGTATCTCTAAACGATTATTACCACCCCACCCATCAAAAACAAATGCTTACAAAATGTTATGATGTTGATTTGGGGTTAGTAGAGACAATCGCCAAATAACACGTAACACTAAAAAGGGTTTTAATAGGTTGGTAAAAAGGTACAGAAATCGCCTGAGTAGTCAATAACTAGCTCAGCTAAGAACTTCTCTGTCTATCTCAGTATTTATCGATCCACCCACGAGGATTGAATGTGGCACAAGGCCGGTTTAATGTGGGTATCTCCGAGCCCGTAGGCTCGGCCAAAAATATAGCCTTTGAACCCGCCTAGACGGGTTCAGGCCCTGTCTACCTCCCCGGACGAAACCTTGTCCTTCGGCAAAGCCTCGTCCGGGTTCCTCTCTGTTAACGCAGAGAGTTCGACAGACGTCGCTTACAGTCAAAGACTGTATCACGACTCAGCTAGACTCAGAGCTCTTACCCTCTCTGTCTATCTGTCTTCCATGTCAACTGACATGCCACTATTTAAAGTGTTTGTTCACAGACGCAGACAAGTTCATCTTCAAGAGGGGTGGTAGGTTTCCGACACAACACAAAATATTTAGATTTCGGTATTAAATAACCCATAGATTTTGACAATGCATCAAACTAGTCAAAACCGGTTTGTTGAATACATTTTGATGAAGATATTAAACTCCTTTTGTCTTTTTCACCCAACACTTTCTCAACTCGCCATCTGCGAATCAATCTTGAAATAAATATCTGTTTCTTTATCTCAGTCCCTCTTCCGTTTTTTTTTTCTTTTGCTTATCTTACTTTTCGCCATCATCCACCAATGTACACTACAGAGCAGCCGATTCTCCTAAATATTGAAACATTGGTTTCCGTACGATCACCAGTATAAAGCAACGTTGAGCCTGGTCAGTGCCTAGATGGGTGACCGCTTGGGAATTCCAGGTTCTGTAAGCGCGTGTGTAGTGTAATGGATAATTCCTCGGAATTGTTAATCGGAGGCCAGAGTTCCAATTCTTGTCAGGTTCAATATATGCAAATACCCTTGAGAAATGAGCGGATCCACCTCTTCTCCTTACAACTATGAATTAATTCGTAAGACTTTTATCTCTAAGCGATCCCCCACCCACAAAAAATACGTACAAGATATTTAGGTTTCAGCATTAAAAAAAACATAATGTATGATATACCACGAAAAAAAACTGTCAAAATCAACCGACGTTTCTTTTTCATATATTCTTAAGCCCTCATTAACTCATTGCGTCTTAGTTGCTTTATTCCCTTACTTGAGGGTGAAATGATAAAATATATAATTATAAAAAATACTAGGAGGGTCCAATTCGCATTGTAAATCAATTCCCCTACGGGAGCCAAAGCAAACATTCTTATACAGTGTAACTCGGATATAAGAGACCCGGATATAAGAGAAACCCGGATATAAGAAGGATTTTCTCTGGTCCCAAATTAGAGCCTGTGTTAATGTATATATAATAGACCAAACCCGGATATAAGAGAAACCCGGATATAAGAGAGATTTTCTCTGGTCCCAAATTAGAGCCCATACTTACCTAACCAAAATAGACCAAACCCGGATATAAGAGAAACCCGCATATAAGATACTTCTTCTCCGGTCCCGACAACTCTCTTATATCCAGGTTACACTGTACAACGTGGTTTCTTAAAATGAATTTTTTTTTTAATCTGGAGTACTTCATCAACAGTAACAAAAAAAGATAAATCCAGATTACAAATTTCATTAATCTAATATATTTTTTTAAATATTAAGAAATCAGGATGTATGACTATATTTTGTTTTCGTTTCCATGGGTTTATCAATTTACAATGTATTTAATTAGAAAACAGAAGTCTCTTATTAAATTTTATAAATATTTTTCTTTTGATATTCGTGTTTTTTATGCTTAATCTATAGAAATATGAAAAAGAAAAAAAAAGGAAAAAAAATATTTCTCGTCGAAGTGCCTATTGTAAAACTTCATATATTAAGTTTAAAAAATTCCTTCAATGATTCCTGACTGCGTATTTTTTTATCAGATCTCATATAAAGTGAACATTTTTCGACGGTATAGTATCTCGGCTCTGATTTTTTTCATTTCGACTAGTTAACCATTGCACCTATAACACACTTTATTTATTGGAATAGTATAAGTGAGTTATTGGTGTAATGGCTAACGAGTCGAAATGAAACAAAATCAGAGAGCCGAGTTCGATTTCAATAGAGATGAAGCCATCTCATCCCCTCCCAGATATGGGTTAGATATGACAGACCTTGTCCTATACCCTTGGTTGGTAACCATTTTACAGCAGGAAGGAATGTCTACTTACTGCAGGAAAATCTTTTTGCATAGTCATGAATCGAAAGGGACATGATCACGTACGTGTTTATAGCGTATGGTATTTGACTGATTCCAATAAAAATATCTCCTTGTTGATTTTAAAGACGCATTTCCGTTTGCTTTTCACTTTTACTTACTTTCTATAAAGATTTTTTTCCGTATGTAGGATTTAGATAAATGTATTTATAAGCAAATGGTTTGGAAGAAAATCGAAAATGAGATTCAGTTCAATTTATTTTGAAATTTAATGACAACTATGTTTTTAAATCAAATAAAAAACTCAGCTCAGTAGCATTGTCATAGATTGATGCCATATTTAATCTACAAATAGTTGGAAAAATGTTGATTTCATGCCTTTATTAATAGCATCAGTGTTAAAATGAACGCACTCAACACCGCCAAATGAACGCCGGGACAACTCGGAACCGAGACAACACAGCACCAGAAAAAAACTGGTTTTTCTTTTTATAACCGAATAAAAGTAATTTATGTAGGATTAAAACCTTAATTAATGAATTTTTTTTCTTTCAAATATGGTGTTTGAAAAGTCATTATGTAAAATATCAAATTGTTTTTAGTTTTTTGTTGTTTTTTTTAACAAAGTAAATCATTAATAAATTTATTTTTTTAATAAAGTAAATATATATTTAAAAAATAATTCAATTTAACACATTTATTTTAATTGTTTTAATAAAGTGAAACGAAAAATGCAAAGCTGTTTTTTGTTTAATGATTTTTAATAAAGTAAATCGTAATGCAGTTAATTTTGTAATAAAGTAAATTATTCTAAAATATGTTTTATCAAAAATAATTTAATAAATTGAGATTTACATTATTAAAAAATATTTATAAAAAAATAACTGCTTCATATTTTACATAATGCTTTTTCAAATGCTATATTTGAAGAAAATTATTCTCGTATTAAAGTTTTAGTAGTTAATAAATTACTTTATTCATTTATAAAGACTGTTTGTCTGGTGCTGAGTTGTCCCGGCGATCGGTCCGCGTTGTTGAGTTGTCCCTTCTCACAGAAATTGAACAATACTTGCTGATTACACTTTCCGTGCCGATAAATATTTCGTTATCCATCATTCCGACCAAAAATATGTCAATATGTGTAGTAAGAGAACCCGATTGTCTCCCTTGTCTTAATATTTGTAGAAAGAAATCGCGCCGTCTTAGAACTCTTCAGTTGCGCTCAATAAAGGTACATTATGACGAACTAGACTCCAAGTTTTCATTACAATTTATTGAACGGAATTATGGACAAATACCTTAAACCGATCGACTACCTTAGTACCATAACCCATCTTGATCGACTACCAAATACCTTAAACCTTTAATACCTTAAACCATCTCGAATCTGCAGACCAGTCTTCTACTGACGCCTGGCAATATTGGAAACAATTATTCGTAGGATTCTGGCTTGTACTTGAAAACAGGCCATCCATTCCTATTACTGATACGGATAGACTTAATCTGCTAATGCGCCACGTTTCCATATCTGTATATACCAATACTTCCCACTGCAAAATATGCCAGAGTGATATGGACATTTTGGATGGAATTTTTGTGAAGAGACGAAACATTATCTTTGTCCGGCATGTATTAGAAACAACACGTCATTCCACTGAAGAGGGTTTAGAACGGTATCTTCAGCGATTAAAAATCTTAAGTCGCGACTGCCACAATCAAGCGACGACAGCAAATCAGGCAAAGGACGAATTTATCAGACTCCTTTATAAAAGCATCAGAATCGATCTATATCCGTCAAAGATTTCTGGGAAATAAACTAGAGTTAGCTCCAACTCGAGAGTAGGTACTTACCTTGGAGAAAAGCAATCTTGTTCATACCTACAAACAAGTGTCGCAGAGGCTGCACTAAGTAATCGCTCTTTTATTAGTCCACCAGTTCAAGCGACCCAAACGGGGGAAAAAGACAGCCTTCTACGGTAAACTGTTTTGTTTCTGCCCGGCCTCCGCCAGCTCAAAATCTTTCTCCGGAAGACACACCATACACTGTTAGTGTTGCAGCCAGACAAAAATGTTAATTGTGTGGTCTCAAACTACACTCCCTGTTGTGTTGATCCTGGGAAACTAAATGCCACAATTGCGGGAAGAAGATACATTTCTTTAAGCTTCGTCGTTCATTTTTTTTTTCAACTGGTTCGATTCTCCTATTCCGACTACTATCGTATCAATTGCAAACCCTAAATGTGTTTCCAATGATATATTAAGGATATAAATAAACGAAGTAAGAATGAATGCTCTAATCGACACAGGAAGATCTGAGTTTTATTATCGTTGAAACAGACTTAAAAACGTACATAATCAAGGGGCTATGGCGAACGCGTCACTATTTTCGCATGTTAGGGGATATGTTTTGGCCGGCCTAGATTTGAATCAAATTAACTACATTAACACCAGATTTATAGTAATTCCAAATCCGTGTTACAATGTCAAATACTGTCCCATGATTTCCTTAAACAGC